TGAATATGAAAGTGTATTTGCCATATAATGTGGGCCAGGAAATTATTTACTTTTACTCTACTGCACCACGCTCAGTTCAGGGACATCTTTTAACTGAAGCAAGCACTCTCCACGTCTGTACCTGTCTTGCTTAGGAAGTGGTCGTGTGATATATGTGTGGTTTGGAACAACAGCTGACAGCAGAACTTGGCTGGGCCTCTTTTCGACACAAATGTCTTGGCTCTTCATCACAATTGGCCTCTTTCATTTTCCCCCACCCTCTATTATAAGCTACTCTGCATGTTATGAAAAAATGTTATGTCTTGTGACCGGGATTCCACTGTTGTGTGGGGTGGTTCAGGTGGATGATTATTACCCCTTTTGAAAATTGAGTAATATATATATTAGGGCTGTCAAAATTATCGCGTTAACGCACGTTAATTTCAATTTTCATTAACGCGTGAAGAAAAAAAATTAACGCATGTCCGAATGACTTGCCCAGTTTTGCATATTATCACTCAGAATGCCGCGTACACATGCTTGTGTGAGATGGCTACAGAGCAGGTCTCTGGGAATTCAAGTTTTAAAAGAATACGCGCGTGACCGCGGGGCTACTGTCTATAAACTGAAGTCCACGGGTGGTTACAACACGGTGAATGGCGCTGCGGTAATGTGGTCATATAAGACCATACACGCCACAACCTGTGCGTAACCGGTGCACGCAAATACCGTGTCTCCTCCTGAAAACTAAACTAAACTCTCAAAATTAAACCTGGGGTACGTAAATTTTCCCCTTTCATTAACAGCTAATTTTGGTTGTGTCCAAAAGTAAAAGGTTGTGAGCAAATCAAACAGATTTACGCACATTTGGTATGAATGACAATGTGTCATTACATTTGATAATCTAATTTAACTTCAATTGGAGTGGATTTGAAGTAGAATGTTAAAGATGCGATTAATCGTGAGTTAACTCGTCATTACTGTGCGATTAATCAACAAAAAAATGTTAATCGTTTGACAGCCCTAATATACAGTTAATATACATATTATATATATATATATATATATATATATATATATATATATATATATATATATATATTACTACTACTTAGACAGTAGACTTCCTTTGTCAGTCCACATTAAACATAATCATGGTTAAACAAATGAACAACTACACGCTAGATGCTTTCACTCTTGGGGAAATGAATATCATCGAGTCAGAATGCCTCTGGTGGATTTCACATGTGTCAGTTCATTCATTGTAATGTCACTTCGACCACCAATTCATCTTACAAAAATACAGGGCCTAACCCCCATCTCCCTGGGCCATCTTTCATCCTGGTTTTGCGGCCCTCCCAGATGTGTCTCTAATCTCTCCCTTGTGTCTCTGAAATGTCAGAGCAGAGCAGTGAGCATGTACTTGCTCGCTATGGATTTCCCATGGAATGTCATTTTTGGTTCAGCCGGCGTACGTTGCCTGTTTTGATAGGCAGTGATTATGGAGTATTTATTTTCCTACTGGGCGTGGGAACCCAACCTGTTAGTACACTACCATTGTGCACTTTCTTTTAAGGATTTGACTCACATATTGACAAAGACACATAGACTTCCGCCCACACACACAAATTAAGATATTGGAGTAAGTAAATGCAATAAATTCTTTAGAGGTCAGAGACGGTTAAGTGTGTTCATTCGTGTTTCAGGTTGATTTTGAAGGTTATGACATTGAATGAGGAATTTTACCCACTGAACATACATAGTTATTGTTTTTTTTATCATAAATCCCCATAAGAAGTTAAATTAATCACTTTTTTGATTTTATTCAAATGACAGCTGCAACCCTGATCTACACAAACCAACACATGTTTATTTGCGTTGTGTTCGATGCCTGAACCACACGTGCATATACATTCCCCTGTTTGTTTACATTTTGGAAAGAGACCTTAACAAGTCAACCAGGTTAAATCCCAAATATCTAACCTTCTAACGTATTGGTTAACATAGAGGCTAGTGGGCGGGCAAAGTGGAGTGATCGACGCAGGATGAGAAAGAGGCCTCCTTTCAAGAGAATTCCTCTTGGGTCATTGAGAGACACTTGACCTTGCACCCTGCAAAATGTCCACCGCTGTATTCTTGTGGTAAAGGTGTAATTGGGCATAATAGTTCACTGGCAAAAGGAAAATCACGTCCTGCACATGTCCTTCCAGCTTTTCCTTGCCAGTCTACCAAGTGTCCTGCAAAGATTTACGACTACAAGCATCTTTACCCTTGTAGCAGCAAAGTCGACTAAAGGCCAAAGATGGTATTTCAATCACTAAGGAAAGTCCTAATGATGACCTTGGAGTTTATGAATATTTCCATCACTTATGAATGAGACTTTTTCAACCAATCAAACAATGCAATTAGCGGATACAACACTATTTTTGTTCTTGTGCCAAATAATCATGCAAATAGTTAACAATATCACTAGATTGTGCAAATGAACAGAAATTAGTACATTCCCATTTTAATGTCATATGAGTAGAATTTCCAGTTTTAAATTAATTACGTTGTTGCTATATTTATAATCGAGACACCCTGGGAGGTCCTCCATGGAACCACTGGAGACATCACTGCATCGAATGTTAAAAAACAAACTTAGCATTTGCAGAGTTCTATTTCCAGCTCTTCTCTTGTGAACATGTTGTGTCTTAATTTGCTCACCATGCTCTGAATAAGAGGTCACAGCAAGCATGCAAGAGATTTGAGCATGTGCATGTGAAGCGCGTTGGAGATAAGGCGGTCAGAAGAGCCAGTGTAGTGTTGCTCTGCTTTGAATCCTGACCCCTCACCTTGACATCAGTCTTCAATCACATCTTTGTCTGGCCTATAGAGAGAGACCTCAGGTGATACCAGCATGTCAGCAGCAGATGTCACGCCTGTAGACAACTTCTTATCTTCAGATGGATCGTATACTGCGCCTGGTGTTGAAGTTTGTTTTTTATCCTGTACAACCAAAGCAAGTGGAAAGAAACTTCCCCTGCATGGCACACAGGAATGCACTTTCGTTTCATTCATAAGAAAGAAAGCATAAGCCCGCATGCAGGGCTCACAGAGAGAGAAGGGACGGTCAAACAACAAATGGGTAAAAAATATGCTTTTGAGAAAGTGTAATGAAGTAGGTTTTAATCAAATGTCCTACATTGCCATATTATAAACTAGAAAACAAATGCTGTTAACCCCAGGAATGTAATTCTCTATTATTGAGAACAGAAAGAGTATCTTATCTCAATCAAAATAACTTAAGCAAGGAAGTATGAATGTGAGTAAGTCTATTTTTATTTATATCGGACCTTTCATAGCTTTCAAACTGGTCTTTAAGAAAAAGATTTGGCAAAGGTATTGTGGTGGAAATGTCACTAATGAATGTGAGAATACACGGCTTTCTCTGAAAGTTTTTTTCTGTCTGACCGGATCTGGCTTCCAGTGGCCAGTGATATTCATACCTAATAACCACAAACAAATTTTAGGTTTTTTTTTGTTTTTTGTTTTTTTAAATACTTATAGCCACATAACTGTGGCTTTCAAAAGTATCCAGCCCCCATTTATCTGAGTGCATCTACTGATCCTTGAAAGTCAGATGTTGGCCTAACTGTTAGCTAACTAGTAAGAGTCTAATGTAATCCAATCGCAGTATAATTACAGCTGTTCTGTGATGGCCTCAGAGGTTTGGTATTTCCTTTGAACATCTCACGGAGCACTGATCAATCCTTCATCTGGAAATGAACACAATATGGCACAACTGAAAACCTACCGAGACATAGCTGTCTGCCCAAACCAATAAGCTGAACAACTCCTTAGAGATGCAAACAAGAGGACTATGGTTTGTCTGGAGGAGCTGCAAACATCCACAGATCATCGATGGGAATGTGTACATGCAACAACTATTAGTCCTGCACTACACAAATCTGGCCTTTATTGACAAGTGGTAAATAGAGAGGCAGTGTTGCATTAAAGCCACAAGAAGCAAGAAGCCACATCCAGCCTGGGAAAAGAGATACTTTTAGACGAGACCTAATATGGCCTAATATACAAAACTGTTTGTGTGGAGGGGAGGGGCAGCATCATGCTGAGGGGCTGCTTGTCTTTAGTACAAAAAGGGACGAGCGTTGGAGTTGATAGAAAGGTGATTGATGCAGAATATATGTGACATTGTGGGAAGAAAATCTGTTGGAGTCTGCAAAAGACATGAGGCTGAGGTGGAGGTGTATCTTCTATCAGGACAATTTCCTGTATGATGTCTTATGATGCGAAGTGATGTGTCGCACCTAGTCCTAATTCTGAGAGCCAGCTTCATAGTACTCAATCTGTGTCTCTTAGACGTCGAAGACATTCATTCTCCATCCAGGGTATTTTACGGGTACGTAGTAGATACTTGTGGAAATTTGACATGTTAAGCTACTGACTGCAAGGGAACATTCACAATTAAGCCCCTCAAACATCTGGGTAAACTCTTGATGGGTACATGAGCTAACATTGTACCTTCTGTAAGGCGACTTTGAGAGCCCAGAAAAGTGTCATATAAATTAAGTGTAATATTATTATTTTTATTATTATAACTGTACGCTTGAAAAGTTCAGCTCTCATGATACGCCATTGCTCACCCCTCACTCCTTTGAGCATAGATCCCTCGTCCTTCCCACCATCTTTTTTTTAACTTGCGTTACCAATTGTTTTTCCCAATTCAGTTGTACTGTATGTATTTGATATGCCAGCTTCATATCATCATATTTTCTTGAAGGAAAAAAAAACCATGCCACTATAACCACAAAGCCATTGGGCAGCACTGAACACAGGAGTGCGTAGACTCACCTCTTGTTTTGGATCAATATTGAGATTTCAATTATTTCATTTTTAGTCATTAGGCATGGGGATCATTGTGCTTTATGGCTCCTTTTACATATACATATTTACATGTGTTAGATCATGGGCCTGTTTTCCATTTGCAAAAAAACAAATGTTTAATTTTGTCTTTTCAGGATGAACACACCAACGCTAAAGTTCAGCTACTGAAGAAAGTGACCAAGGCACAAGTGATGGAATTCATAGAGGAACTTTTGAAATAATATAAGACTCATTGTAACGTATTAGAACAAAACAAAAAAATTATGACGATAATACAGCTCTATCCAAATGTGTAAAGTTTGGACAGAAAAGGCCAGGGGTCTCCAAGTTGTCACTCAGGAGCTCAAGGTTATAACATTTTCAAATCTGAACAATTAAAATGTTAGGATTCTACAATTATTGTAAATAAGTATTTGTTAAAATTAGCTTTCCATGGGGACAAACAATGGAGACTGCTGGTGTAAATTGTCCAGTTTTGAATTTTCCTCAATGGCTGGGATATTTTTTTTGGCAAAATGTCCCAGCCATTACTTTACTTTTGAAATTATTCTTTTACTTGAATCCTTCTGTTTTCATTATTGGTATGTTTTTTCTAAAAGGATTTTGTTCGCACTTGAGTTGTATGCTTTTAATATTTCCTTTATGAATGTTTTGAAAAACATGGATGATTAATGTATTGTAAGAAAAATTAGTTATGAAATTGAGTTGTGGTTACAAAAGACTTGAGGCTGTAATGGGAGCAAAAGATGGTTGTACAAAATATTAACTGGTTGCTGAATACTTTTGTATGCCACATTATGTATTCATTTTATAGTTGTCTACCAAAGTGGTAGTCCTGGTTTTGTAATAGACCACATAATAGTAATATTATGTGGTAATTAAAAAAAAATTAAGAGAAAACTACATAAAACATGAGAACATCAAACATGAGGGAAACAATACTGCTGTATATTGTCTGTAAAAATGTCTGTGCCTAATAATACTAAACTACTGTGATATGCAAGTCTTTTATTCTCCAGTTCCCAGAGGTCTGTGTGAATGAGAGCAGAGTGAGTTGGGGGTGTTAGCAGCCAGTGATCACTCAGGAGGTCTGGAACTCTCACCCCTGACCCCAGAGCGAAGCGGATGCCACCATGGTGAAAATGTGAGAGGTGAGGTATGCAGGCTCCTGGAGGCCTGGCGGAAACCATTCCACCCTATGATGAATGGGATGTTAGCATTGACACAAATTGGCCCATAATAATGACACAAGACCACTAAGCACACAGAGGCTGTGAGGAGGACTGAAAGGCAGATGCTGTGAGAAGGAGAGAGAGAGGAGGTTAAGTCTGATCCAGTGGGACAAACTGCAGATTTACAGCAATGGGTACCTCTGCTGCTTTCACTGCTCTCCAGAGTGAGATCGACTCTCAGGGAGCCCTTTGCTTTCATACAGACATGAGGACATAGGTGCTTTAAATTGTTCCACATGTGTGTAACTCTAACCTAAGGCATCAAGGCATTGTTATTTTCTTTATTTGTTATGAAAGTACAACAGAATTTCTGTAAGTAGATCAGAGCGATGATTAGTCTTGGCTGCTGAGGTTCTGTATGAACCAGTGGCCCAACTGAACCACCATGTTTCTGCTCGGGGAAACCAGAGCACCCAGTGGAAACCTATGCATACACAGAGAGAAAATGCCAACCTCTATCAGCGATTCCCCCACCCCAGTATGAATCCTAGGACCTTCTTTCTTGTAGACAAGAGCGCTAGCCATGCCACTCATAAGAACCGTTATAGAAACATTTAGGTTGATTTGCATATTTGTGTCTCATTTTATTTTTAATTTTGCAGCAGAGAGTAAAATAGACTTGAACTTATGACGCTAAATCAGTAAAGAGCATCCATAGCCTTTGCATGACAGCATGTTGTTCTGTCCTTTTACATCCTTTTCTAGACAAGGAAAGCTAGTGTGTTTGGGGAAACACATGCATTAGATTAGATATGTTGAGCAGTCACACTCCTGTCAGTAATTGAAATGTGATTTCAAATAAGCTAATATGATTACAGCAGTTGGGTTGGTAGGGGCCAGTTGAAAGGTGAAGGCGAGTCTGTGATGTGCTCCTGTCTCTCTTCTTCTGACATTCCACAATTAATGGAAAATGAATGGATTTGCTGACTTCTTGTCTAAAGGCAAATTTAGATGTTTGGTTTTGCAAATCAGCTTGTTTCAGTTACAAGAAGCGTTTCTCCTGATTGGATACACGAGACTTCAATTATTAAATTAAAACAGAAATGCTACTATGTGTAGCACGACAACTTGTTATAGTTTTTCACCCCTCTGCGCTTACTCACGGGGACACGTAAGCGAGAGCACATCACCCCTGTGCTGGCCTCACTTCACTGGCTCCCTGTTACTTTCAGGTTTGATTTTAAGATTCTGATGCTTGTTTTTAAGTGTTTGAATGGTTTGGCCCCTGCAAATCTGTCTGAGATGTTATCTCTGTATGCTCCTGTAAGATTAGTGAGGTCTGAAAACCAGCTTTTGTTGAACGTGCCCCGGTCTCGTCTCAAAACTCGTAGAGACCGAGCCTTTTCCGTTGCTGCCCCAAACTGTGGAATAGTCTACCTCTGTTCATTAGAGCAGCTCCTTCATTGGAAGTTTTTAAGTCTAGTTTAAAGACACATTTTTGTATTTCGTGCTTTTTTTCTTTGTTTTTTTTTATCTTTCATGCCTGTGAAGCACTTTGAGCAGCTGGTTTTGTTATAAATGTGCTATAGAAATTAAGTTGACATTGACAAGAGTGGAGTAGGAACACAGCTCTACAAACAGTGGCGCTAAATAAGAAACATCAGGGGCGGACCCTCAATGTCTGCAAGACCTGCTCTGCTGGCCTAAATATGATTACATATATTATTTTTTTAATAATATATATAATGTATATTTTTTTACTTATTTTTTTTTTTTCTATGTTTATTTTTCCACAAACTACGTTGGTTGCGCAGCTTCCAACTTCAGGTCGACATTTGGGATGTCTGGCGTCTAACAGAGTTTTTATCCAATCATTGCTCAGCACCATTTGTTGCTATGTCCCAGAATCTGCCTCTAGGCCTTCAGAGTCTACATCGCTGGCTAGCGCTAGCTTCAAGGCAATGAAAACGAACCCGGAGCATTAACCAATCAGTATCAAGTCTCCCAGTTCAGGGCCTGAGGAAGCGTGTCTCCTAATTGGATACACGAGACGTCAATTATAGTCTGTGGTGCATAGAAGTGCAGACACGTTGATGTGATAAACAGAAACAAACAGAAATGCTAATATGTGTAGCACGACAACTTGTTATAGTTTTTCAACCCTCTACAGCTGAAGAAGGTGAATACATCGGTCTGGTAACTAAATAGTTAGAACGCCTTTCTCAAGAAGAACAGAGACAGAGGGACCGGGAGAGCCAGGATTTTTGCCCCTGGGAATAAGTTTGTCAATAAGCTAACCTGCGGAGCTAGGCAATGCAGAAGACACGGCGTCGCGTCCTGCCTCACCACCGGTAAGAAAACAACATTAAAACTCCATCCAATACTTATATTGTAGTTGGACTTTCCCACATTAATGCTCAAAACTGTGTCCTGAAAGCTCGTGTTGCACTTTTGTCATGTTGTTAGATACTGTTAGAGAAAGAGAATGTTACGCATTGTGCACGAGTGCGTCATACGTGTGTGTGCAAACTACAGCGATGTGCCTCCTGTCATTTTAACACAGGAGGCACACTGTCTATGTGTGTGTGGGGGGGGGGGTCTGTGGCACTAAAAATGTTGGAGATCACTGGGTTAGGACATCACTGCAGGCGCAGGTCTGAAATGCACGGCCCGCCACTGAGAAACATACATATTTAAGTTAGTTATTCAGGTACTTATTTAATGAAAACTGAATTACAGCTGGACAAACTTTGCACACGTTATTACTTCACCCCAAAAGGCATCTGTTTTTTTTTTATAGTTGGTATTGAGCCTTATATTACTAAGCCCATATGGTAAAAATAATAAATAAACTCGGGTTCTGTATATGCATTTTCTTCTTTTTGGGCCCCTTGCGAATTACCGTAGTTCAAGCGTGCTTATTATCCCAATTACATTTTGTTATTGTTTCCCATCACCAGTATTGGGTAAGTTACTTTGAAAATGTTACTTATAAAATAAGTAATTAGTTACATTACCTAGATACTTCCCCAAGAAAGAAAAGTTGCATTACTTTGACCAATCCATCCACTGTGTGTTTTCTGCATAAAATATTTCTAAAAGACGGTGACAATAGAAATGTGCAGCATCTCTGCCGCTACCGGTCTATTTCTTTTAGTCATATGAAGCTTAAGCGTAAATTCAGACTGGGAAGACCTCTGCTTAAGCTCTCACCCCATCCCGGCCGGGCCTGCCAGTCACACAGCTCTGCCAGCCTCTTGAGCCTCAGCCAATCACACAGCTCGGCCAGCCCCCCTGCCAACCTACTGACAGCTAAGCGAACAGTTTGAAAGTAGCCACTTTCTACTAACCAGCGCTTCTCAAAGCTCTTGACACCCACCGCCTCCTCGAGCTCCTGCCCTGGCTCCTACCCTGGCTCCAGCTTTGGCTCCTGTTTCGCCTACACCCCATTCACAGCATATGAAGCCACTCTATAGCTACCACCAGTGCTTGACCCCGGGGAATCTGAGATCATCTTCATCAGCAAGTGATCTCCCCTCTGCAAGTGTCACTGCTGGGGTCAATGCGCCAAACCAATAAATCATTCTAAATGCATTATTGTGTCTGTCTTAGTCTCTCCAGATTGAATTAAGGTTTGACCTGACAGCGTCAATCAAGTCCAGGTTCTTATACTGTGTTGGTGTTTTGCTTTCCGAGGCGGCGGGAAATTACTGAGATGCTCTTTAGCGACTAGCTTGCTGCTCTGTTTACATGGAGCTGCAGACTTCACTCCAGATTAGAAGTGCATAGCATCTACACAACAAGTGAAAACAATGTAGTTCTAACGCCCGGCCAGTATTGGTAAGTGGAACTTACAACACCTGCCAGTATAACCACTATCTCAACAACATCCTCCTCAGGCCACCAGAAAACCAAAAAATCATTCTTCATTTACCTGGTTACGTTTCGATGAAGTAGAATTTCTCCTCCGTGTAACTACTAATGCACATATAGCAC